GTTCCAATTTTTCTATTTGCATTTTTTATGTGCTTTCAAACTGCTAAGTTGGTAGAAGCTGGGACAAGTAATGGGAGCTCACTCCATTACATGGCACTAGGGATTCGAACCACTGAGCTGCTGAACTTCTGATTGACAAGCTCAGTGTCTTAGCCACTGAGCCACCATGTCCCTTCTGTTATCCCGTCAGGAATGCTAGGCCTGCTTTAAAACAAGAGAGAGAACACTACCACAATTCATCATGCCCATGCATCTTCTCTGCCTAATTGGAACCTGGCTTTGCAGTTCTTTTGGTCCAAATCTCTCAACCTCTCTTCTCACTTGTATGATTGAGAAGAGAAATCTGTTTGAAAATTTATGGAACAGTCTAATAATGATTGCTAAATCTAATCTAAAACTATAATGACATGTGGAAATGCTCTTAGGAAACAGAAGGAAGAACCACAGACTGGAAAATAGGCAAGTAAAAAGAAACCTCAGCCCACAGAAGGAGAGGTCGCATGGGAAGTGTCACAGAAAGGACTCTCCCCAGTTTTCAGAAAACTAAAATGAGGGGAGGGGACGAATTCTTTCTTTTCTTGCAAGATAGTATTATTGTAAGAATTGTGCTTCTTGTCTGAACTACCTTGAAAGGCTAACAGAAAATGAGACCAAACCAATACCTTTTTCAGTTGGCCATGCACCTTAGTGGGAAAGCAAAGAAGTGGTGTGTTACATATAACAAACATTAGGCAAATTTGAGTCCTAAGCGTATCGGTTTAATAGGTGTGTATGTGTGAGCCATATATCTGCCATGTGTATGATGTGTATGAGAAATTTCTTCATAAAATTAGTAACGCATGGCCCATAGTTCCAGTTGTTCCCAAATGACAGGGATAGACTCTCCCTCCGAGATGAAGAGCTATCTTCCAGGAAAGATAAAGACATGCTAAAATATGGTAGGGCAAAGACCCTATAAGATTTTGTAGTAGCAAGATTGTTTTAATATTCAGCCAGGGCAAAAAGTTTATTTTAGTCACCCCACTCCCCCGCAATCTTAGATCAGGTCTTTTTCCCCCCCTAAGGAAAGACTTAAAGAGAAGTTAGTCAAACTAGAAATTTCTGTCTGTCTGTCTGTCTGTCTGTCTGTCTGTCTGTCTATCTATCTATCTATCTATCTATCTATCATTTATCTATCTATCTATCATTTATCTAGCTATCTATCATCTATCTAACATTCTACTTTAATATGAAAAAAAAAGAAAATAAAAAAGGAATTAAGTCCTGCTAAATTGCATAGATCTTATGACAATTTCAGACTTTCATGGAAAACACTTGATCTCCAATCAAACAGAGAGCCTGTTTATACTATTTTCTGCATGTTTCTGGAAATTATTTATATTAACTCATAAATAACTTAATCAGAATCAAAAAAATAAATCCATTTAATCATGTATAGGAAATTCCCTTGACTTTTAAAGGAGTAATGGTGTCACAGAAACATTGCAGAAATCAAATACGACTTGATTTCAGAAAAACACCTACCTGAGTATCCAGTTATATCCATTGCTTTGAGATTCCTGCATTTAATGACTGTTAGAGTGAGGCGACCTGCAGTTGGCAGGTAACAAAGGGAAAACATGATCTCTCCCAGATCCACACTTTCCTTTAATAAAAGAGAGAACATAAAGTGTCAGAAAAAAATAAAAGAATTTATTCTCACTTGCAATTTTTTTTTTACCTTACCTACATTTTTTACAGCTCCTTGGTTTTCTTTACCCCCTACCTTCTCGAGGCAACACTTTGTTATTTAGTAACCTTTGAAAATGTTGCATATGCTGATAAACAAAGATGATGTGATAACTAGCTATCAGAAAATATATATGTAAATGTGTAGCAGATTTCTGCACTATTCAGATCACCTTGCAGAAGTCCTTCTATGATAGCGAGCCTCCTAAATTCATACACATTGGAATTTGGTTTCATTAAAGTATAGATTTTTGGAGTCATATCAAAACTGAATCATTGATTCATCAGGTGAATCGGGAAAGCTGGCCTTTGAGACCGTTGATCTGCTATTTGTAAAATGAGATAAATTATGGATAATAAGGATAGGATTGTAAGAGTGCCAGATAAAAGAAAATCAGCTTACATATGGTATATAAATATTCAATATATGAAACTTGCAGCCTTCAGAGCTGTCTGACCCTGTGATGCTACCTGGAAATGTAGCCAGAAGCTAATGAAAGCATGAAAAAGCATGATCTTAAATAATTGGGAAAACAGGAATAGGCTGTTAACTGGGAAACTAGAGAGAACAAAATTTGATCCTCATGCCATGCACTGAGAAGAATGCAGAAGCAGAAGATTGTGTATAGCCCTATAAGATACAGCTCACAATGTTCAGGAGATTTATCAAATGAGAATATAAGGTAGGGGTGAAATTCAGTAGGTTCTGACAAGTTCTGGAGAACTGATAGTGAAAATTTTGAGTAGTTTGGAGAACTGGCAAATACCATGTCTGGCTAGCCCCAGAGTGGGAAGATTTTGCAGTATCCTTTCCCTGCCATGCCCACCAAGCCATGCCCACAGAACCGATAGTAAAGAGATTTGAATTTCATCACTGATATAAGGAGCTGCAGAGTTAGAAATCAGAAGTTTCTGTGCTATTTGTTGCTTTAAAGTAATAGAACATTAATATTTGGGGAAGGCAATAAGGAACTGAATATTTAGCTGTAGGTTAGCAGCACTATGTAGTATATTTTTGTTCAGGAGTCTGTTCCACTGCATTTAATGAGACTTATTCTGAGTCTCAGCTACATGAAGACTTAGCTCCAGAACCTTAGGCTGAAAGACAGGCACATGGGAGTATATTTCACTGAATTTGATGGGATTTATTGTTGAGCAAACAAACAGCAGTTGGTTGTACATCAGTTTTTACTCTTGTTAAACATGAAAGCAAAACAATTTTCATATGAGTTTAGATAACAAATGAAAGAAGTTTAAGGAGCTCTAGGTGGAAATCCTGCTATATATCAGACAGTTCAAGTTCCAGGTCAACGGGGTAATTCAAGAAACATATGAACTATAGAAAACATAGACCTGAGATAATAAGCACCCCATTTTGCTTGCTTATCTTTGCTTGTTTTAAAGGAAACTCAATGCAGTGCATGATTAGAGGGTGTACCATGTGTATTTTGCAATCAGCAATGGACAGTCTCCCTTGTCTTCTTCTTGCTCATCTATTAACCTGTCAAGCCTCTACTAGACCTGCCTCCACGGCAACAAAGACCTTTACAGGTGTTTTGGCCTCCACAAATGTCTTATTTTATCTCTTCATTTTCTAGCAATGGAACAGTAGAAAATGTCTGCTGAAATGAGGTTTAAACTAAGCAGGGTTAATTAATGTGCTTCAGGGTCAACACTTACTAGCCAACATGACTTTTGGGGGGAAAACCTTTTAGAAAATACTGACAAGTTTAAAATTGGTAAATTGTGTTGTGACCTGACTGAACAAGCTTTCCATGGACTGACAAGCTTTCCAGGGTCATTTGAATTGTTTTTCCTGTGATTTCTTGTAAAACTCCCCTCTTAATTTTAAGAGGTTGCTTTTCTTTTGGTCAAATAAAATTATTTAAGGTAATAATGCTATAACATAGAAACACTCAAAAGACCTATTATACATATATTTCTGTTTTGCCAAGTGTCGGCCAATACTAGGTGCCAGGCAACTGGTCCTTTGAGGATCCAGAGAACATCAACACACCAGTGAGTAAAGAGATTTCAAGCAACGGAGATACTCCAAGGCTCTGCGTGCAAATTACTGCTGAGCACCCAAGCCTGTGCTGAGAGGCTCCCAATCTCCCAATGCTTTTAGATCAGAACCCACTGCCTGATATCTGGCCAGAATCTGACACTTGGCAACACAATTTGTTTCTTCAAACTATTCATGATCTCATCAAACCTTTTTCTCAAGATAAGGCATTACACTATAACTATCTATTGTGTTCATATTAATCCTTAAAATTTAAATCTAAGTCTCGAGAGCGGAAAAAACCAAGGTCTTTTGCATAACCCTAGGTGGCGCCCTGTAACCTCGCTGGGATATGAAGCATCTCTACACATAACTTAAAAATGTGACAGGACAGAGGCCTGTTGATTGCTACCAGATTAAGTGTTAACTTGATAAATGCATTTATTTTACTACCAATATCTCACATTGATTGCTTCACAAATAAGATTTATCAAGGGTCACAGAGAAATTTCATAAAAATACTTTACTTTTTTCATTTTCTAATGACAGCACCAACTCTTATCTAGCAAGGATTTCAGTTGTCCAGCATGATAACATTTGCACTTGTATAAAATGTATGTGCATTGCATCAAATCCTTTATTTACAGTAAATTCACATTTGGATTGCAATATTTTCCTGTGACATTGAATTAATAAGCAATGTTTTTTTCTTTACAGTATTAAAACATCAAAGGTAAGATGCAATGGAAGAGGGGGAAATATATCCTTGGGATGTGTCATGAGCTCATTAACTTGAATTTTGCTCTTAGAATTTAGAATAAATATTGATTATATCATAGAAAATCATTAATTCAACTGAAAATATATAATCCCCCACAAACACAGCACGCAAAGATGAGGTGATCAGTCATGGCTGATTCTCAAGATGATCTTTTAGGAAAGGGCTTATTAGAGTAAAGCTGGAGCATCATAAATCCCAGTGCCTTCCAATTCTTGATATACAGCTGGAGCAATTAATAACAGGATATTTTCCACACATGAGATTAAAACCAGTTTTTAATCAGTAAATTCATAATGCATATCTAAAATCCTGCATTGCCTAGAAAGTTCTTTAGACTTTCATTTGCTGATTAGCAGCTACCAAATATTGTTACTTCAAAAGTGGTTTTACACAAGCTTTGTATATACAGATTTCTGGGGACAGAAATCACTTCATGTTGCTCTTCATTTCGAGTCAAATGGTTATACAGTATAATTGGCAGAAAGTTGTACTTCACACAGGGGTGTCAAACGGGATGTGCCATGTGCAGGCCATGCCCACCCCAGCTCCATGACAGGAAAAAACATTGTGATACGTCACATGATGGCAGCCTGACATGGCACGTTTCCCCCCCCCCACCTAGAGGAAGTTCTCTTTCCAGACTATATTATGCAGGCATACTAGTTAGAACATAATCAAATGCCTTTCATTTACAGCATCAGATATAATGAGCCTGGCTGCCCAGTGTGTGGCTACACTGAGAGAACCATTATATATTTCTGGTATATTCTAATGAGAAATGTTTGAGCTTAATTGAGATTAACATGTTAAAAATTCTACTAGAAGAACTGAATCCCTTCCCATTACTCAGTGGTGACAGCTGCCAAAGCAGTTCAACTCTAATCAGGGCTGCAATCAGTGAACATTACATACTTCCTTCCAGATAAACTTTTGGAAGCCTACACAATGTGGTTGACTCATCATTTGACCTATGTTCATACTACCTCATCTTCTTTTTCTAGCTCTGAGCCCAGGAAGTTTCAGTTCATTTAACAATAGAAAAGAAAATATTGCTGAGGAGTCTGTAGAGCATTATACATTGGATGTCAGTGAAAACAAATTTTGAACTAACTATTTTTGTCAGATAATTATGCAGAAGTGATGAAACTATAGCATGCAACAATAGTTTAGATGAAATGATGTTAGTTCATCTCAGGCTTGGTGAACAAAGACCAGGACTGAACTGAAAAGGTTATTATACTTTACACTTTTCAAAGATTATTCCCAGTTCATCCATGACATTTTATGTTCACTAACTTCTCATACACTTCTAAAAATGACAACTTGATAGCCTATTAGTTAATGGAATTATCATAATTGCTCATCACTTTAAGTTACATTTCTATGTTCGCTCCTTCTTGCACATCCAGCAAACATGAAACATTTTGGTGCAAGAATACCAAAATTTTAATGGATCTCAAGGTATATCACCAAGCATCATGTGGTTTGATTACCTCACAAGATTTCAGCATGTTTTGAAGGTCTATTTATTGTGGCATTCATTATAGACTATCCATGTTAGCCTCACAGACTACCAGTAGTTACTGTGCTACACCTTGGACCCAATGAACTATTAATGAGCTGCTTATCTGGAGTTTCCAGCAGCTAATTCCCATTGGCATTGATAGTAAAAGAAAGAGAAAGGAGAGAAAGAAAATACACCCTCCCCCCCAGGAACAGCATTATAATGTGTTTCATATTTCCTATTGGACATCCCAGAAAAAAGCATGGAGTATAAATCTGTAGCAGACCTTGCTGAGAATATGTAGGGGCATATTATGGCATATTATTGCAGCCTTTGCTACTATTGAAGAGAATCCCTGCTTTCAACACTTAATGATAATGGTTTTCAGTGTGGAAACTGAGGTGAGATAATGATTTTTGAAGAAAATGGGTGTGATGCAGTCAGATGTAATTGTGTTAAATCACTCTGGTTCACTGGAGATTTAACAGAATTCTTCCAAAAAAGATCTTCATAACCTGATCCTAAATATTCAGAAATCGAATTGCAATTAAATGCAATTCCTTTTTATTTTAAGATGGCAGTTATAGACTCATAATGCTATCTTATTCTTGCCTTTTCTTTACTCTT